AAATAAAATTAATGTAAAATTAAAATTATTTGAAAGTAACTCGGTTTTTATAGCATTATTAACAAATCCTAACAGATAAAACGTACGATTAAAATTTTCTTTTTACACGCTTGTGATGTTTTTCTTGGCTTCCCTTCAAAATTCGAATCGCTTTGAAAAGTCCTGCAAGATTTCGCGTATGTATTACAACAAAAAATTATACCGGGGTAAGTGTATTCCATTTCATCCGTAGTATTTTATTAGAGCGATTACGCTAAATTAATAGATCTTTCCCAAGCAGAACAACAGGTCATGATATAATGTCATTTTAATGTTAAAATGAATCGGGACTGATCAAATACTACTTTTAATAATCATTTTGGAATTATTTTGATACTATTTTTGTGTCATAATGACTTTATATTCTGCTTGGACTCTAACAATTTCAAACTATGTTTTTCTCTCTCATCCCCTTGTTATGACCGACTCGAATAAAGGATGAGAGTAGCTTCGGAAATCAAAATTCAATGTACTCTCTGTTTGCTTTCGCATTCCCAATACCACAGAGAGCTAATCATTATTCAAAATTCTTCGAAAGTCTAAGAACAAGGACTTCTTTTGGCATCGTTGTATCTTTAGATATTTGTGTCACAATTGCGTTAATTTCATATTAATTTCTTTTTTCATGTGTCAATCTCCACCTCGATATCTTCTCTCACTATCGCATGCAGTGCGTTACTGTCTGTCCGTTTTAGCTCTTCGTAGCTGCATATCATTATTTTTTTTCTGTTTGAATACATAAGAATAGATTAGACACTCTATTTTGATTTTTATATCGGCAATTTTTTTTTTTTTCGAATACCACGTTTATGTGTATAATTCATAGACGTATAACGTTAACGCTATTATCAGTGAATTCCATAAATCGTATGATCTTATGAATTCACATGTCATATTCGCCTTATGAACAGTAAGTTAGTACGATCCTGTGCAGGATCCTTACATTTAATTACATATTTCATCTTGTACCTTGCATAAATGCAATTGTTATCTTTATTCGCTAATCAATCGGTTTGATACCACAATACATTCTCCAATCATTCGAGGAGTTTCAGTTTCGGCCTCTTTTCAAATCTCATTTAACATCATTAACATTCAAAAATATTTCGTGTCTCTTTGACATTTTCACGGTTCGATAATTTCTTCGCGCGTTTTATGTTTCGCGTTTGATCGGATTTCTTATGCGGCATTGAATTATACGGAATGACAATTTCCAGAGTCTCGCTAGAACGAGAAAACGTTAAACAATCACGCAAAAATCAGATATTCCGTACGCCTCCCTAAAAATCGGAGGTTGCAAAGCACATTACAAGCTGGAAAAAATTTTAGGCGATAGGATATTTCGGTGCATTATGCGAACATTAAGTTAGCTCTTCTTTCGGGGTTCTCTTTTCATTCTAAAAAAAATTCTCTCAATCGAGTTTTCTCTTTTTCTCGATATAATTCATTCCTTGCAGTCTAATCTTTATACCACCCGGTATAAAAAAAATTTATATATACTCAAGTATAAATATATATGTAATTATATATAAACTTTTTTTACTGGGCATTCTTAAAGCTTTCGAAGATACGCAATCGCGCATTCTGAAGCGGACTATCTAATGTTTAGATTAATTAATGTAAAAAGGAGTACGTTTTGTGATATCCGAACGTCGAGGATGTCATCATCGTACAATCGTTCTTCGACGTTCGCACTCCAAAGAATTACAAACCATGTGTAAAAAAAAAAGTATTTTTACACAAACGTAAGTGTACAATACGCATAGCCAGTGAATAAGGAGTCATTAGAAAACATATGCTTCTGGTATCTGACTTTGGTAAGGATTATCTGCGGAGCACCCAACTGGCTTGAGAATCGTGACATTCGGGTCGATGTTAAATTACGAAATTCACAACCAGTATTACTGTACAGTAAACTGGTGAGGATCCTCGATCCGAACGTCAATTCGTGACCAGTGATCTGTCCGACGAACCTCGTTCGTTTCTTAGATGCTAACTAACAAAATAAAACGACACCGATGACTCGAACGATCACGCTGATGCGCAAAATAGTTCAGAAGCGAAAGCGGGCGCTCTTTCTTTTTTCTCCGTTCGAAAAACCTTTCGTGATTTTCGCGAACGAGAAAATCTTTCTTGGAAAGATTCGAATTAGAACCAATAGTAAATTTAGTATTAGAACCAGTGTTCTAATACTAATATTTTTTCACTCTTCCACAACAGGATAATCGAACAAAAGGAGCATCAGCGCGTACGTTCTCTTTCTTCAGGGCGGGATTGCTCGAGGATCAAAACGAAAGCATGGAGTAGACACACTGCCTGTCGAGGTAGTTACAAGCGACGAGCTCCTCGCACGTCAAAGGCAAATGAGAAAATGCGAAGTACGCGTCTGCAGAAACGTTCGTAGCCCATTTGATGAAAGCGGCGACGACGACAAGAACGATTTGATGATAGCGCATTTCCCTGGTGGTCTTGTTTGATACACGCGTCGTCGTGCATCGACACCGGGCGCTTCGAGAACGTCACGCAGATTAAATGAACGAAAGCTGTTAATCTCCTTCCGTTTATTCGTAATTTTACTGACTAGAGCGTCATTTGCGCTGAATACAATTAAAATTATCTTTAGAACTAGAACTAAAGAGAACGAGAGATGATAAATCCTCCTTTCTCTTCCTTCTTTTCGTCCTCTTCTTATTCTTCCTCTTCTTCATCTTTTCCTTTTGCTACCTTTGTGAGAGTTATATACTGCATACGATCTCGAGAACGATACCACTCTGATCTCACGTGCGTTTCGCATGCATGCGACGCGCGAGCGACACATGCGTTAATGCAAGTTATAGTTCACATGCATTTGCCTTTGAATCTTTTGATTATTTTTTTTCTTTTTTTCTGTTCGACGACCCTCGTATTCTGAAACAAACGTAAATTCACGACGACTACCTTCGCCGATATGTACGCAACGTATTGAACAGCGTTAATACAGCACTTCCTTCTAGTTTACCCGCATAATGGGAACGCGTATACGTCTCATGTAAACGTTGCTGAACAATCACCTTTCTCTTTCCTCACGCTCTTTTTCCGTTACGCACAAAGCATTGTGGAAATCGGTGTAATTTCGACGGGTTGAAATTCTCGCGTACGCGAGAAAAAGCCTCGCGCCAATCGAGTTTCGTCTTTTGAGTTTCGCAAACGAATTCATACAGGCGACTTTCGCGTACCCCCATAAATTAATGAAATTATATTGATCTTAATCTCTGACCCTGTGTTACGCACAGAAAAATAAAATCCCATCGCAATCTCTATTGCCCCTTGCATATTTCTTTTCTTTTCTTCTTGCGCGACAATACCAAGCGCTACTTTGTTCAATGATAAAAAAAATATGAAAAAAACGATATTCCGGCAGTTCTGTCTGTCACTGATTAGAAACAATGCGCTCGGCTATGTCTCGTAATTTGTGTCTTCCTTATTTCTCTACCACGCATAAGATAAATGACACTAGTATTCATGACACTTCCAGTTTGTAAACCATATCATCTTTTGAAGTAATTTTAAAAAAACAGAAAGAAAATCAGATATTTTGTACATTATACGCTTATTTAGTGATATAATTAAATATTAAATAATTATAGACTACAGTTCGTGTTAACAAAAGTGAACTTAGCATACAGTCTGTGTACAAAAACCAGGATTTACAATAGCGTTTCTCTAAATCTCAATCTATAATAGGAATATAATAATTTTTTTATCACATATAAAAAGCGGTTGTCTATATGTACATGTCTGAGTAAGATTAGGTACTATCATTTAACCAATAGAAGTTATTATATAATTTGGTACACTGTTTAAACTCGGTATTCGATAAATACGAATAATAATAATAATCAATACGTCATTACTTCCTGGTGTCTTGACATAGTCGTTGGTTTTTCGCACGAAATCTTATGTATACACACGGCTCGCTTATTCCATGTTACACACGCGACTTTTTTTTCTCTTTTCTTTCTTTTTAAAGATTATTTTTATATAATATCTATATATAACACACGTTATTTAATAAGTCAGAGCTATGGCCAGTTCATAAATTCGAGGGTCGTTCGTCGCATAGTCCACGTTCTCTCCTATAGAATGCATCTCCGTTACGTAATATGTCGGACGATTGCCGAAACGATATTCGCCATGATCGCTTTCACAACTTTTGCGAAAAGACCACAGCTCTATCAACGATGAATCGTATCATACAACGATACAAACTAGTATTTGTTTGCTCCATATCCTTTTTGCGTCTCACGGATGAGGACAGTGTTCCGTTTTCAAGCAGCTGCCCATACATTCGACAAATCGATGTCGTATTTAATGTGTACGTGCGTCATAATAAACTAAAGAGGCCCACCTAGTTTTGGGCTCGGAAATACGTTCCGGTCTATCTCTCAGTCGACAAAATTATCTCTCGTCGTATCCCACGCGTTTTCAATTTTATACAATCCTCTAGATTCTTTTCCCTTTTCTTTTGTATAGTCAACTCAACAAGCGAAGTATAAGCAATCAAATTTGAAGCAACAACTTGATTCTTAAATATCTACCTAAAAGTACAATGGGAGTCGTACAATGTCGAAGGCACAACTCTTTCAAATCGGTCGAACTGAAAGAAAGCACAACAGGAGGCATCATTGGCGTATGTTGAAATTTAGCAGCGCGGCAGGCCGCCGATAAGTGTCTTTCTTCCAGAATGCTCGAGTTATTAAGTACAAGAAGGATTCTTTTATTGTTGTTAAAAGATGAAATAGCAAAAGCTATGTATACATATATAGCGTAGCTATATATTTTTATATATGTATTTGTTAGAGCATAGTTTTTTCATGATAACTGTGCTTTCTCTGAATGAAATGAGAACATACTAGCTCATTTCCCTTTTTGTTATAGTCATATCTTTCGATCGTTAGAAAGTTCCATTTCAACTTCCCTTCTTTTTTTTTATTAGTAACAAATTTACATAGGCATACGGAAAATTATGGTTTATATTTTGTCTTCTAATCGGCAGAGAACGGGATTTCGTAACATACTACTCGCTATACATTTATACAATCTTACGATATTCCTAAGCTTGAATCCACATGCATTAATCGAGGCAAATGAAACTTCTAGCTGTACTATCAGCTTTATCAATTGCTTGAGAAGAGATGGGGTACTTTTTTTGTCAAATTATCATTTCTAGAATTGGAAGCCAAATGGTCGTGGGGAGATACAGACATGGTCGAGATTAAGGAGAAAGAAACTATCGTTGAGAATTGATTGCCTCAACCAGCATGCGTTAATTCACTTTTCATTCAGAATCGTTTTCCACTTCATCATTACAGTTCGAACATTCATAGCGCGTCATATTATCAAAGTAACTACCCACAGTGAAACTAAGAGATTAGCATGAGTTCGTTAAAGAATGATCACTAAAAAAACAAATCCTCACTTGTTATATCTGTACATGTGCTGCTATCGCTCGCCACCAAGCTGCTGGCGCAGTAATATCTAAGTATCCCGAAATTGTTTCACTGAGGCAGCAACTTGGTAAAACGTCAGTATTCAGCGTTCATTATGGATCCTGGCTGGTATTTTGTGACGACTCACAGTTTTGCGGATTATGCATTTGAAGCGCTAAGTGGGGTGTATGTACTGGAGAAGGTCCTGGTTGAGGCTGTTGTTCTTCTTGCATTTGTTGGATCACGGCAAAGTCGGGATGATACCTATAAAAAGGAATAATAAATGTTAAAAATCAGTTTGCTTATGTCTCATAAAAAATTATTGTATTTTTTATTTACTATTAATGTATTAATACTATTAATTCTTTTGTAAATAAAATAAAAATCCAATATTTATAGAGTTTATCTGTTTATATTACTAAATTTTAAATTGTAAGATATAGTCTTTCATTTTAGATTTTGTCAAAAAATTTAGACAAACAAATTTTATAACTGATATTATTAAAAGCATATAAGTATAGAGAAGATACATGTTACAACTTACTCCATAGATGCCCATGCTAAGCTTCTGTTATTGCGTCTCTTAGTACTTCGGACTTGATATGATTTGGTTGGATTAATAGATTGATATTTATATGTATGTTGATATTTTTCTGCTTCTTCCGCACAATCTTCGCTTGTATCTTCAACTTCAGGTTCTTCATCGGGACACAGTTCGCACGCTCGCTCCAACGTCTTTCTTGCACTATTACTACGTTCCAAAACATAGCCATTTGCAGAATCATTGGACTGTGTTGGTGGCGACCAGTTGTTGTACGCGTGTGTGTATGGTGCCGTAGAAGCATATGGTCTCTGAAAACGATTTATTATATATTTGTAATCATCCTAATATCGAGTGGCTTAATGTTCAGTTTCTGTTACATACTTTGTCAAGTTCGTCGTGGAGCCAATCAATGGCGTGACTCCATTTTCTTTTTAACTCTGGACTATGATGTAAAAGTTGATGCGCTGGTCTGCATTTACTAAAGAGGTGCACCATACATTTAATACACTGGTAAGCCCTTTTTTGATAATGATTTTTACTTCTTTGTATCGTTTCAAATAAACCTTCTCGTTCGTCGGGAACTCCTAAAAGATATAATCTCATGTATTGTGATACTAACGAACAATACCCGAAAGAGCGTTTTGTTAAAATTTACCCTTAAGTGCATTGTGTACGCGATGTGTTTGCCATGAATCCTCCATCAATAGTATCGCAAGCAGCAGATCTGTGTGATGCCTTAACTCGTGAGTATAAGCGAATCCTATCTGCCATAATAGCTCACTAAGGACTGTTCGCGACAAGTGTGGATTCTCCCAACAACAATATTGCAATAATTTAACCGTATCTTCAGTCACATTAGCGTCCTCAATCAATTTCTTAATGTAACTATATTCCAACAGACAGAATAAATATTAATTATATAAAAATTTCTATCACGAAATTCCAAATTTGTTAATCTTTACCTGGTACGAATAAACAATATGTCAGCTGCTTGTGATTGGATAGGCATAAGATACTCCGATTGACACGCGGGATCGCCATATGGATTTGGTAAAGGTTCTGCACGAGGCTGCTGACTCGAGTGTACTTTCGACGATACATCACAACATCGTATTAGCATGCTAACTACCTGGTGAAGTTTAGTCAATTCCGGATATTGATATTTTATAGTAGGACCTGGGCCTTCATCGATGGCGACTAACATAAACGTAACCGGTACATTTAGCTGCAAATAATATTAATATTTAGAACTCTATTCTAACTCTTAACTCTGTATGTAACTCTTAACGACTGTAATATCGTTACATTGTTGTTGCACAGATTTTGTGCATGATGAAAGTTTTATTAATAATGGAACATAATTATTAAATTATGTATTACCTTAAGCAGTTGTGCCTTTTCGGCAAGACCAAGCGAAGCATACGCATGAAAGAGAGAAAAATAATGAGGAAGATGACGCCCATGATCCGAAATTTCACGGTGCAGCAGCGACAGTACCGCATGTAACAAGTGATCACTGAGCGTTGCTACTGGATCTAAAAGTATAGCTAAAAATATTTACAAATTATAAAGTAAAGATTGTCAAGTATCATCATATTAATTGTATCTTTGAATTCGTATGCGAATCTTAATACTCACTCGGTGCATTTAAACTGGGCGGAGCACATGGACCATCTTGCAGAGAAACATGTGCGAGGAATACCAAAATTTTGAGGAAAGCAGTGCGCACCTCCGTACTAGGACAACTCAAGAGGTATTCGCAAAATCTATGGATAACAAATTATATTAATATTAAAACGCAAATATTTTTATGCATTATGTATTTAGAAAGTTTTAATACCTATGTGGATGATTGAACAGTACTTCATTAGCAAACCAAGAGCGCACTGCTTTACTGCTACGCAAATGATGACATACGATGTCATACCAATCTGTTGCCGTACCACGTAACGTTTTCTTAGTGTGGAAACCTGTATAGAAAAGGAATCTTGATGCTAACTGAAGAGATAGCATTGCAAGTTCTTCCGCTTCAGGGCTCTAAAATAGAATCGTCATGAGTTAGCGAAGTTCTGTTGAAAGTACATCTAACTTATACATGTGGTGGACTCACAAGTTTCTCATTCAGATTTTGCCGATTAATATTATGAGGATTGCAGGACACCAATTTCTTGATGAACTGGAAGTATTCAGCACTAAATTGATTTCGGTTGTGCATAAATTTTATATTTTGCTTTCGTACACTGTATTCTATCGCTGGTGGCATTTTCATAACTCCTAGTTTCGTATCTAAAAAATATAAGTGATAATAAGATTCATTCGTAAAGATTGATATTTTTGTGCAAAATTTTTTATCAATACTTACACAATGACAATTCATTTACACTTTTCATTAGAGAATTTTCTTCTACATCTAGTCTTGTATAAAATAACATATACGCATTCCACCATCGTTTCTGTTTGCGGTAACTCATCCGCTTGAGCATATGATCGAATACCTCTCCTAAATAATCACCACCAAAGCATTGAGATTTCATCTCTTCCTCCTCTTCCATTTTGCATTCTGTTACATCACCATCATCAAACTTGTACCACTTTGCTGTACCATCGTTCAGTCTGAAAAATTATTGAATAAAAAAATAGTTTAATTTATCAGTTAGAAATACTCTTCATACGTTTATATTTAATATACCTGTGCAAGATGTAAGAATAATAATGGCCACCACTAGCCTGACCACTATGAACGACGATACCAGTTAATTGATACTTCGTGCACGTTCCCTTTACAGATTCCTCATAATCACAGTCTATGACTTCTCCTTCCAATTTAGCTAAACCGGAGACAGTATAAGGTTCCATGTCCAGATCTCGTGGAAACTCAAAGTAATCGTTGAATTTTATAGCACATACACGCTCAAAGTCATATTCAAATCTTTTCAACTGAATTGCTAAAATAGGCGGCAGCTTTTTCACACACAATCTCTTTACTGTTACAACCTGAACATAAAAGAAATATATAAAATCTCTAAAGTAAATAAAATGTTACTTGGTTTAAATAGAATTGTACATAGCTGGCCATTATTTTCATGTTCAATGTTTTTCTAAAAACAATTATTTTCATTATAGTAAGGTTTCTTATAGATTTTCAAGAATATATTGTTGTAATCGTACCTTTTTGTTGCACTTATCACAATGGTAGGCGTCTGCACCCTCCAGCAGTTCTCCCTTTACGTATTGCTCAAGAGAATCCAATAAATTACTGTGATTCCGTATGTCAACACTTATCACGCTGAATGGCTCCTCTTTGGAATATCTGAAGATAAGGTAATGTGGTATTACAGTCTACCGAAGAAAGTAGAAAGTAAGAACTAAAAAGGTACCTATGAGGGCAACCTTTGCAGATTTTTTGGTCGCTGTATGAGCCACCAAGAATCTTGCCCATTATCTGCTCGTGTCCCAAAGCTTTCAATGCCTCGTCTAGGCTCTCTACCAAACTCATGAAGAATTCTACTGCATCCTGTTGTTCTCTAAGATTTACAGGTTCTCCTTGAAGCCTACAAAAATCGAATTATCTCATTAATTATTTAAAATGTTGAGTATAACATATATCCCTATCAGTTTTATATTAATAAAATTGTAAGAGAGTTCCTCTTTCTTTCTCTTGCAAACAAATCATTATTAAAAAAAAAAAAAAATTTTATTTTTACAAATAAAATTATATATATTCTTACTTGAAATGCTTCCATAGTCCTCTAGGTATGTAATATTGTAGTTTACTATAAGCCAGATGACCAAATATTGCTTGCACTTGTTTCAAAATACCAATATTATATTCCTTCCTGGATTCATCGGCACCGCATTTTTCTTCGTTCGTATCATTATCATTTGTTTCGATTGTCTGCTCCCCTTCGATTCTCTCCTCGCCCGAAAAATCCTCGTTCAAATCAGTCGCCGCGCCTTCTGCTGCCAAAAGTCCAACTCTAATGCTTTCCACCATGTACAATTGCTGTAATACTGAATTCATATAACAGGTTGCTCCTGCATTCTTCAAGCCTACGAAGCCTTTAAGTGGCCTAAGCCCCACGGGCGGTAAATAATCCCACTCCACTAATGGTTCGTCCTTCTCGGAGTAAAACATGTCGGTGAGCATTGTGACTAGAAGTTTCATGTTGGGTACACAGCCTATGCAAAGACCTACGAGCAAGTCGAACGCAGCGCTGGTTGATTGAGGGGTAGTGCAAACTGGACACGCTTGTGAAGCGCTGAGTTCGCCGGTACTACGAAGTTGCAGCATGAGGCGAGATGCGGGGAACACAAAATCCTCGACCAGTTCCTTAATCAAATTAACTCCGTGCTTCTCGTCAGAACCAATCTCATATTTCTGATTCGGTGGCAGGAAGGCTAACAGTTCCTTCGTTAGACCAAGGTGACCCTCGAGCAAGGCTTCATCCACTTGACTCTCTCCGGTTTCCTTCACGTTATCGCGAACTTTCTTCAACCAGGCTATTTCGACGTTTAATAGTGTCTCTGCGGTCGTGAGAGGGCAACCTGACATATGCGCGAAGTTTAACAATCGGCACAAAAGCTGAAAGTACTCATGACTCTGTTTCGCATTTTCCATAACGGTACTGTTTAAAACGGTGAAAAGAAGAGTTACGGTGACCAGTAGCGTTTGGTGTCCACCACTGCACCATGTCGATATGAGAAAAAATTGTTCGCCGGCAGCGATTCTAATGGCTCTCGACGTACTAAGTAGCACGAGGTCTATCAAGAAGGTATGCCATATTTTGTCTCTCGACAATGTTTCTAATGCCGATGGATTCAATACGAGAGCGATTGTCAATACCTCGAGTGCTTCCTTGCACACAAGGACGTCGTTATTATCAGGATTTCTCTGTTCTTTTTGGTTAGTCTCGTGCATCGAGTGAAGTACCTCGTTCGATGCATTAATGTTGTTCAAGTTACCCGTGGATGCGGCCCACGCTAGTCTAATTATGGCACGTATAGTAGCCACATCCGGTAATTCCCATGAAAGAGCCTGTACAAAAAGCTGTCGACATCGATCAGCCTCGGGCCCGCCGGATAGCATTCGATGCGCCAGATGCTGTGCTAGTTTGGCTGCCACACTTCTTAACATGTATTCGGTACTTTGATTCGGTACACTTTGAAGGGCCTGTTTCAATACAGTCACTCGACCGCGGTTGTTAACGTGATTGTCGTGATTCTCCGAAGTTCCAGTTTGTTGAACTTCATCCATCACGCATGCCATCACATTACCCATCACTGTAAGAAGAAGTTTGCACAATCTCAACACAGTTAGATATGCAGACCGCTTCGTGGTTTCATCTGCATTTGGTAAAAACTTATTTTTGGTTAGCATATCGAGAATAACACCCGCTTCGCCGCTTTTTATGAAATTATATTGAAATTCAAATGCTCTCTCTGACATAGGATCAAGAGCTGGCATCAACAAAGTGTACAACACCTAAAAAAAAAAGAAAACCATTATTGACAACGTACAAGGATGAAACTTACTAAACTATTTAATGTATTAAATATTCACCTCTAAATTGTATAAAACTTGGCTAGGACTTGCAGTAAAAAATAGAGAATCTACTGTCGTATTCTGCTCGTTACAATGAGAAGGGTTCTGTAAAGCTTCGTCGTCTTTGTAATGACCAAATAGCCACTGTAATCTTGTTACAGTAAAGGTATCTGGCGGCACTAATTGTAAAAGATTTCGTGCACCATCACGCAATTGTGAATGCTGAAGAGTACAGCCAAGATCTGCTAATTGAAAGAAAAATGTCGCATATTGAGATCTTTGCGACATTACCTAAAACAAAGTCGCATTGTTAGAATAAGTATACGATGCGATATAATTAACTGAGTTTATAAATTTTACATTAAACTTACCACACCAGGTAAACTATTCTCTGCCTCTACATTCGGCCCGTCGTACGGATGATGCGGAGAACTAGTAGAGCTATCAGAGCTACTATCCGGTGAGCTTGGCATATTGCTATTTACTTGACTGAGCTTTGCAGATAATAACTAAACAAAACACAAATCATATTCGTTAACTCTTTACATATCAAGATACCTTTCTTTCAAACCTTTGTCTTCATTAATACTCGATTGACACTTACCATTTTGTCTCTCAGAGGAATCTGAGAAAGGAGTTTTCTATCATCGGATTGTTCTAGCGATTCTCCATTAATAAATAAATCGAGTTTCACATTTGTCCCGCTTGCTTTAATCCTGCGTAATATTTGACGTCTCAATGAAGCTAAAGTGTCATTACTGTGGGTAAAGATATCTATGTCGTCAACGTTTCGACCAGGACTCGCAAAACGAATAACAAGTGACAGATGCTTGCCACGAGCTGCTCTGTAATCAGAATAAATATTACGTTATCACCGTATATAAGACAAAAACATTGTTATCAATATGTGCGATTTAAGTATACCTATGCAACGGTAATATTTTCCGTTCTCCTGGAAAAGCTGTATCGCACTCATTTATGTATTCCTGTAAGACTTTCATAACACGACACATTTTTATGGCTTCCATTTTAATCTTGTTTGTCATTTGTTCTTCGCGCTCCTCCTTTCCGTCTAGATATACTCTGCTTAAAACAGTCACAGTATCATAATGAGCTTTCAATCTGTCCATACATTCCGCTATATATGTTTCATGAAATGCCAAAACAGACGACTGCAACCGCGGTCCTAAATTAGTGTTCACTTCTTTTAAGAGTTCTATGCCTCTGTTTGCAATTTCTTCTGGGCTGTTTGTTACTACCTGTAGACAGACATAAGATTATCACTATACAAGCATGCATATGAAAAAAAAAATTAAAAAATGCAAATTGTATAAAATTATATATAATAAAAGAAATAAACAAATACATACTCTCCACAAATAATCAGTTCCAATTAAATCCACATCATCCATAAGAAATGTTCTACGTTTCAGTTTCAATTTTCCTTCCTTAGAATTAACAGCTTTAAAAAATCTTTCATAACATTTAATACCGCTTTCTGTAAGCAATGTCGGATCTAATTGCAGTATATTGTTTTGAAAAAAATCCTTGTTTATTGCTGGATCCAGATCCGGTTCGTCTCCCATAAGTTTGGAAAACCATTTAAAGCATGCTTCACGATCCGAAACAAATACACCTTGCTCAGCTAAACATTGCCAAATTTGTTCTGCTTGATCAGCACATAGCCATAATTGTCCATCCTATGAAAAGGATCATATCATCCATATTAAAAATTCATGTTTGTGCTATTCTAAGATCTGGAACATACCTTTAATAAGAAACGCAAGAAATTTAATCTTTCTTGCACTTGCATAATATGATTATATCGACCGTCAGGCATAAAAGTATTTGCATCGATTTCAGGATTTTCTTTCACCAACTGCCGCACTTTATCCATATAATTTGTTAAGCTATTTGTTACAAGAATTACTACCGAATGTTCGTTTTGTAGACGTTCTATTACTTCTTGTCTATATAGTAACAAGAAAGAATAAAATGTAACAATGTATTATATTTATATGTGTGCTAATGTAATGTATCATTAATGTGCCATTGTACCTGTAATGCATATGATGGCTACGCTGACTATGACCTAAGTTGGGATTTGGTTCATAAAGGCAACATATTTCCCGAATTTGTTTCAATGCAGGAAGAGCCCATTTATCACCATTTTTCAATTCTTCAACACACTTGTCCACCCAGATTGCCTTTTGCGCATCTCTCTCTTGCGAGCATGAATAATCGAGAATTTTTACATGAGCGTTCAGTGCCTGATCCATGATCTCTGTAGGGACTTCATCAGAATGTGCCAAAGTCCAAAAAAGTGTTAACACCTGGCAGTAGAATCAAAAATATTATTTACACGTCTAAAATATATTCATGTTCAAATCTATATATTTAAAACAATCCAACCTTATGTGCCATAACACCATCTTTATCATCTTCCGCGAGTCTCCTGATCAATTCTAATAGTTTTTCCCGTTGTTTTTTGTTGGCAGTTCTCCAACTTGTCTGAAACAATAGCATATTTCATCAATGTAAACATTCTATTCAATACAAATTTGATATCAGTTACTACTGCGATAGATACCTGAAAACACTCAAATAGATGATCAAGTTGTTCAGGACTAAAATCCCAAGCTAATTTGGCTAACAAGTCATGAACATTCTTCACAATTGCTTCGTGTTTACCAGCTTGTGCAGCCCAAACAGCGTCTAAATCCTCTAATGTAAGTGCACGTTCTTTTATAATAAAGCGTAAAATTTTTTCCAGTTTCTCTACATATTGCGGCTGATGCAATGAATCCCTCAATACGATTTCCAATACTCCATTGTCTTTAATCCATTTCTGTATCATAAATATAAGCACTTCTTACTTTACAAAGTACTCATAATGTATATAAGGCGTTTTCCATTTGATGACACAAGTGTCGTTCTGTCTTTGTTATTCCACTGAATGTGAAGATAGAACGATGCTTATGTCGACTTGTCACTAAATGGAAAGTACCCACAATTATCAAACTCATATTTGTAAAATACTTAAAAACCAGCAATTAACGATGTACTTGAATTGAAAGGATTGTTTTAAAAGGTCATTACATTAACAATATCACTAGTACAGTTAGTGTTATGAATTTTTGGACAAGACTTACTGCCATACGCTCTGCTGTAAGCCACTCCTCTTCCTCTGCTATTGTGTTGCGGTGTTGATGATAACTAACACTAGATATTACTTTATTAACTTCATTTAAAGCATTCATCTTTCCATTAAACGAAGAAATTTGTAAGAGTCTCAATATCATTTTCAGTCTCAATATTTCCAAGTTCTTTATCATTTCTTCCTGATGAGGCACGCGCGACACCAAGCATTTAGCAGCTTTGATTATGGCTGATATTGCATCGTTTTTTGATTCATTTTTTGCCTCTTTCTTCAACTCATCATCGGTTAAATTATTCAAAATAAGAGGTACCATTTCCTGTATGTAACAATGTGATTTGCATTGCTCTCGAATAAAAATAAATAAATAAATAATCAATGATAATAAATGAAGGATATACTTACAACAATAGGCATCAGATATTTAACTATTGTGTGAACAGTTAACAGTTCATAACATAAGCCAAACGGTCTGATTAAAGCATAAATAACTGGCACTGTTAAATTACGTCCACTCTGAAATCTCGAAAGCAAAATTTCAAATCCATTGAGACTCCCAAATCTGAAATAGAAGTCTATGTTAAATTTATGTTGAAATAAAACATTTTGTACATATACAAAACTTGATAAAAAAATACCTGTTTATAAGATCTACTAGCCAACCACGAGGAGCTCGTGAGTCAGATGGTGGGCGAGCATAAAGTTCCTCGTCAGGGATATCACTACCGGGAGGAACGGTTTCTGAAACTCTTATTGCATTTACTGTGTGAAATCTGAAACAAATTCGAACAATTTAGAATAATCACATAGAAAACTTGTATTTACATAATTGTACAATATATAACATAATATTCACTTACTTATTACTAGGATTAAAAACCATGGCCAATAAATCAAGTAGGGGAAACCAGTCCTCATCTAATTTTAGGACACACAGTTCCACCAAACGTGCACAATTAGTATTGATACAATTATGAATATTCAATTTCCAACTGTTCACCGCATCATCTGTTAATATCTTGGTAAATGAGATTGTGAGACCTTCTCGAAAAAAGCGCTGACACGCTTCACTTTGTACATCAATTCCTGCAATACAATAAAAGTAAAATTGATGCATTCTTATAAATACAAAATAAGCGCTCCTATATAAAAATGTTAAAACACATTGTCATAAAGGTCAAATCATTTTCCTGGCGTGTGCGAGAAAATAATCTCAAAAATTTATAAACAATACATAACCTTTTTTACAAAGTTCGATACTGGCTTGTAACAGGCACTCTAATTCTTGTTCGGGCAAAACTGGTACAACCCATCGTGGACTAGAAATCTTTTCATGAAGCATATTAAGTTTGAAAATAGGAAACTCAGGTTCTTCATGAAGCTGGTTGCTATCTTCTACTGTAGTGATAGCATCATTGTTGCATTCCGTTTGTACCACATTCTCGGTGAGTTGGAGTCCCGACATTGTTTCAGCCAATTGCTGTGGACCTGGTGGACTGTGCATCTGTAGAGATATCTTTTTTTTTTCAAAATCCATTTTCACTTTATCACAATCGAGATATGTTTCGTTACTTTCATTGGTTGGCTCTTAAATCTATATACCTGTGTATTTTGCTGGCTGTCGGGAGGGTCTATGCCAACTCCCTGGCCCCTAGTGGCAATCGTCATTTTACACGTTCTTTGCTATGCCTTAATTGTCTCAATAACTCTTGGTCCAATGATTACACCACCAATAACAAGCATCCAGCTTATACACTGACATTAAATATAATTATATCCTAAAGGCCTTGTTTTAATAAACTATACCTACATTATCTGTAACAAAAGAAAGGAATTTTAACAACGCGTTCTCGGACACTGATAAAAAGCACAACTAAGCAGATGCGTCGTCAAGTTAACTATACTGTCCTCAATAGCGTAGTCAAACTAACAACGACAATCATCAAATTCAATTTACAATCCAAACACACGAGAATTTAAATTTGTCATAGTATCGCGATGGCACAGTTATATAAGCGTTTATTTTCTCGAGGAAGTCACAACGAGTGACAACTCGCGAGTCAATGTATAACCGGCAGAACAAAGACCAATATAATCATTATCATTTTCGAGAAGATCTCGAGCGTATAAATCGGAGCGATTCGACTCTATAGCCACGGGTGGAACTTCTTAACCGGTCGGGATTGAATACGTATGTAGGGATTGAATGCATCAGCAAATGCGGGATCCCATCGACGCGAAGCGACGCATGTTACGGGCGCTTCAACGGCACGCGGACGGGATAGAAAATTAAAGGCGGATAAGAGCGGCGGTTGCGGAACGTTAACTTTCAGGACACGCGCGACACAACTTGGAGTCGTTGTCAACGCCGACGTCGGCGCCGTCGCTCGCTCGGACGTCCCGTTGACGCACGGCCGAACTGTCAACGTCGTCGGGATACTTCGACGAGGGAGCGGCCATGCCGGTCGGCGGAGGCCTCGTCCGAGGGGTGCGCGTCGCGAGCGCGCCTTCCCCAGGGAATCGGACGCGGCCGGCGATCGGCCCGCCCACGTTGCGGCGAGATACGCCGCGCGCGGTCGAGAGTCGTGAAATCGGCGTAGCGCTGGCCGATTGGCGGACAACGGGCGACTTTGTCGGGATGCCTGACCGCGAGTCCGCGAACCACCGCCGAGACGCGCCGATCCTCGCAGACTCCAGACGATCGGCGACGGTCAACGGTGACGGCGACCGCACGGGTCCGCTACCTACGCGATTACAACAATCCTCGCGGTCCAGGCAGCGCCTATTTTCGCCCCGTTCGCTTCGACCGGGCTACCACTTCGGACAAAATGGCGACTATCCTAACGATTGGTACTGCCGTGTATTAACAAAAGCGCCGATATTCCGGCCCGATAGCCGGCCGCGATCACGCGAGCCGCGTCATGTCGCGCGGAAGGACGTCCGGGGTCGCGAATGATCCGCGCGTTGCATCTCAACCGCTGGGGAACGCACCTTTACATAGTAAACGTGGTAGAAATTCGTGTGTTGCACTTTTTTGACGTGACGTTACGGAACTCAACTAGCAAAATCTGTAAACACGACTGCCGCGGCGCTGCGGTGCTCGCCCGAGACGACGTGCGTGCACGACGGGGTGACGAGCGACGTCCGCGATTGGCCCTGGTGGCCCTGGTCCCCTGTCGCGCCGTCATCCGTCGCTGAACGTCGCCGTCGATGGCGCGGGAACGTTCAATCGTCGTTCGCACTAAGGGCTTTATTCTCGAAAAATATCACATATTAGGGAAATGTATATTCCTAAAAATATTAGAGAAATCTATAATAATATAATGGTATAAATATACTAAAGTATTTTCATACGTTTCGTTACGCGATATTTTTCGAGAATAAGCTTCAGATCCCATCGATTTCGAATTTTATTTCGCGAAGTCGCGATGATGTCCTGGTGAAAATTTTTCTTAGAATTTTTAGATAGGAATGGGCCCTAAAGTGATTTCGATTAAACTCTAATTATCTTAATCGATAATTAACTCTGCGCGAGAATTGCTTAAAAAAATTTTCCGATAAATCTAATCTTTTCTGTTATCAAATAAAAAATTAATTCTACTCATGTTAACAAAACAGGATAAGTATTACTCGACAAGTTAATTAAGTTAATTGTAGATGATCAAAATTTCTAACTGTTTAAGTTGCTCGGTATTTTTCTAATATGGATAGAATTACTAATTGGTTGTAGTTTGACATGTGAAGATTGAATTAAGTATAACGAATTATAATTTTAATACAATTAAGTGCTTTGATTCAAGCATTTATATTAAATCGATAGCTAAGAGTTCAATCAATTTTATTGATTCAATTATTATTATATTATAATAATTACATCATATTATTAAATAAACAATTATTTAATCAAATTTTGATTAAAATTATCCCCTAAAACGAATCACCTATTTCTAATTATCTATTTCTTCTTCTTGCTACGCATTTTGTTTCAGTTACAAGATAGAGAATAAGGTAAAAATAACATATTCTTGTTATATTTTTAATAATGTTATGCACTTAGAATAAAAGAAGCAATATTTCAATCAAATAAAAGAGAAATGTAAAAAGTATGAACAGATATATTCTCGTTATTTAAATTTTTTAATTATTACCTTATGTTATTTATGATCACATTTTCTCGCATTAAGGGCTATTTTTTTGTATTAAAATTAATTTTTGTCGTAAATATAGACACTAACATTTTTACATCAAAACATAACTGAATTTTACACGTTTTCTCGTGAAATAAGTTCGTGATATGTAAATTACGAGTTTATTTTGGTGAATAGAGCATATCTCATTTGATATCCAATTAACAATTTCTTTAGAAATTTATTTTCATAAATCTCTGACTGTACACAACATTCGTAATTACTATTCTTGTACATATCATATTAGTTTCTTATTAATACGTTGTTCTTATATATTCTTTCAGTGCAGTTTATTCAGTTGAATAGATTTTGTCATTTTGGAAAAATGTTTCAATGCTTTATTTATACTTAATAATTATACAATTACACTAATTATATTTATGTCCATGTTGAAAACTACAAGAAAAATTTATACCCTAATATAATACAAAAAAAATTGCAATTTAAATTTTCATTTAAAAATATCGTACATAAAAAAGAACAAAACTTAGAACATAATCAAAATAATAATATAAATTGAAAAAATTTCAAGTATACAAATTTCAAGTATACAAAAGTTTCCTTTTCAGAAATTTCTAATAACCGATATCTTTATCTGAATATCATAATTTTCGATTGCAACTACATCAGATAATGTTTTTATAAATGCGCAGAATAATAAGATATTTAAATAATAAGATATTTAAATGCAAAATCTATTGCACTATAAATATTTGTTACACAAGACTTCAAATATTAAAAAATAATTTTTCGTACAAAAGAAGATAAAACAGTGTAAACAGATTATAAGAACAGTATTATATTTTCATATTGTCGGAAACGTATTTGAGAAAATTTTAATAAATTTTTGATCATAGTAATGAGCTTTTAGCTAGTCAATAAGCAGTTTTCGTTAATTTGATAATGATTAGTCAAATGCACATAATGATTTAAGACTTTTAATAAACTGCAACTTATCTCCATCTTCATCTCTCAACGTATGTTAGTAAAAAATTCAGGAGAAATACGTAAGTAGTCCTCCGCTAGTATTAAATACTATTAGCAGAGTTCTTTGTTGATTAAAACAATATAATTGTCTGCTATTATTTATGTGTACGAACACAATTCTTGGATTCAGTCAAGATGGAACTTTTTACATGCATTCAATATCGATCGGTAATTGATGAGAGACGAGAGGAGATATTTTCAGGTTTGATTGTATCCAAAATTTCTCACAATATAATCTCGCTATTTTTACAAGTTACAGAAATGAACAATTTGTTTTTCACTCATAAGTGTCTCTTGCAATCGTTTTACTTCAAAAAAGCCATTCTGTCATAGCTTTTTCTGTTTATCGAGTTATTCTGTTTAATATTTGGATGATTTATCATAAAGTTAGCTCTTCAAGTTCTTTTAGCAATTCATCTTCCTTTTTAATCTTGTCTAATTGATTGATTTCTAATTGTTTTCCTGCTTTCAACTGCTCTTTCAATTTTGAAATTTGATCTAATTTCTGTGACATAAATTGAAATTGTTAATTCTTAATAATAATGTGCGAAACAGAAGAAAAAGATATTACTATTGGATATTCGAGTAATATACTTACACTTGTTATTTTTTTTATTTTTTTATTTTTTTCAGGATCGTCAGTTAGTTCTATTTTTATGTTCGTTGTTGTACTTGAAACATGCTCAGTTGGATTGTTAGACTCTAATTCTTTTTTAGCTTTTTTTGCTTCCCGATTCTTCTTCATTTTTAATGCAGCTTTTGATGGATTTGCTATAAATAAAAATTAACAACAAAATAGAATTTACAATGATAGAATTACAAAATGGTTTCATATATATTTATATATTTACATTCACTTGATTTAGAAGGCGCCTCAAGATCATCATGTAATTTAAATGTAATATTTTGTCCTCTGGCACATGGTGGTCTATATGCTTCTTTTGGTGCTAGAAATATACACACAAATATAATTGCTATACTTATTTTTAAAACATGTTTAGAAACATATTCTAAAATCATCATAAAATGATTATTACCTTGCGACTGATTATCATTAGTGACAATTCCCTCAACTGCTTTGTAACTAATAGGTTTCTGTGGGAAAACATTTGAAGGGAAACTTTGCCACGCTACTTCCCAAAGTTCTTCTTGGTTATTCCATGGTCGTTGGTATATCAATGAGCCAGTGTAATGCCAAATCTTAAATCTATATGATAATTTAATACACATATTAATTTTACAACAGAGATAAATATATACTAGGCACAATTTCTTTTAGTATATATTTATTTACCCATTGGTAATTCGTAATCTAGGTGCTGTAGTTGCAGTCATGAAATGTTCTCCATCTGGTGACCACCGCAACAGTGTAGTATCTGGTGCATCAGTTTTAGCAATAAGTTTTCTGTTAATGACATCCCATAATTCTATGCCGCTCCTGAGATTACCAAATCCAGACAAAAGCAATAGTACACAGTAGTCAAGGAAATTAATGCATAAACAAATAATTTATCATTTTCAATATATACAATTACTTTCTACTACAAGAGTACTGTCTATAATTAACAACTATTTAGTTATCAGTAATATTAGTATATACATTCATTAGTTCATAATAAGATAGCAAAAGGATATTATTGCCATGTGGATTATAATATTAGTATATAGTTCATAATAAGATAACAAAAGGATATTATTGCCATGTGGATTATAATATATACTATTTCTATACAACATGCCAAACTCAAAGACAGTTTCACATTTACAATTAAACAACGTTGTTTTAGATGGCATAAAACCGTATATCACACAGAATTCTGTGTTCCTGGGAGACCATTCTACTGCATGTATAGGACCTTCTTTACCTAATCAGAAGAATTTCTGTGTGTTACAATATTATTTTAAAATTAATTTCGTTTATTCTAAATTTTCAATGCTAATTGAAAACGATAGTATTTTAATGTAGACTTACTGAGCATAACCATAGCAGTTTCCCCTTTTATATTGAGATGATGCAATGTCTGTTTTCCATAATATGATGCACCAGTCTTATCAACTTCTGTGTTTGTCATCAATAAGACATTTGTTCCACATTGATTCCAATACATATCGACTTTATCTGCCTACAAAATAATAATAAATCAAAATAAAAGAAACATACTAATACTTGACATTTAGAAAATGTTCAAAATTTACTTGGAAAAAGCTTTTGCTTGCGATCGCTTCTCCAATCTCAAACTTTGGATATTTAAATAACCTTCCAAAGGAAGGTTGACCAGAGCTTCCTAAATTACATATACAAAATTTTTTATGGAAAAAATATACATTAAATAATTTAGATAATATACAAATAAATATAAATCATTAATTAATTATAGGAGATATTAAATGTGGAGAGTGCTGCAATAACGTGTAAACATTTTAATTTAGTCAAGTAAAATAATTTTAGTGTAACATACTTTATAATTGCGTTCTGCTTAATAGCTAATTGATAGTTCATTGTGTGCAGACACATAAAATTTAATACTTAATTCATAGTGACAGATATTTATGAAAACTATGTTGTGAAATTTTGTAGGTTAACAATATAATTTTTCTGAAAGAAGAGTACTTACACATATAAATTGTATGCTAAACAATAATCAGGAAAATTTTCTATTGTAAATCCTATTTGATTATATGTTATATTTTGGAAAATGCCAATATGTGCTTTCCTATTGTCTGTTTCTTTTTATATGTGATTAAAAATCTATCCCAAATTTTATATTTTAGGTCTTCAGTCATCATTTATATTATATTTAAATGATATATGTATATACGTAAGTAAAACTGAAATAAAAAGTATTGTATAAACTATAACATAGTCAATGCAATTGTATTATTTCTAAATTATTTAATTCAGCTACATATTATTTTTCAAATATTAAACTTAAATAAATATTAGTTCAATCATACAAATACTTTATAATAAATTATTTTTAAAATTTTTAAATATTTGTAACTATATATATTTTATTATAAAGTTCTTATGAAGTATTATATCAAGTATTTTTTACATGTAATTTTACTATTGTGCCAAATATCTTTAAGGTGTACAATCTCCACATTTCAGTATCTCATCATATTGCAATAATTTCTATAATTGTATATATCAGTATCATAGCATTAAAAAAGTCATAATTACCTGGCATATAACAAAGGATGTGGTAGGGAGCGTTACCAGGTGCTATACTAAATTTGGCAATATTGCCTTTACCTATTTTGTGTACATATCTATCAAAGTTGTTATTTTCATATAAAAGAACATTTCCTCCTTTCAATATTCCAAAGAATGTTTCGTCACTCGACCACTGTGGCTCCCTATTTTTTCATTAAATAAATAATTATTTCGATGCATCACATACATATTTAATAAAAGTATTAGTTGCAATATAAAATTAACTGTTCCATTATTAATTATCTTTACTTTATAATTATCAATCTAGAGATTTTAATAATTAAAAAAATTTATTTTAAATTGATTAATCAAAAAGAGTAAGAATAATCAGTGTGTAATATATTACCAATCTCCCATTCTCTTCTGGATAAGATGTTGAACTTGTTCACCTGTTTCAGACTTCCATATGCGAAAATTTTGTGATCCTTGAGGCTCCTCTTTTGTTACTAAAATCATATCACAATGTTTCTAATTATAAACATTATAAAATTAATGCAACTTGCTTATATTCGACATAGTTTTGTGTTAATTACCAAAGGATGGTTCCCAAGTCGCAAGGTAAGTGCTATAACTGGAGAATTTAAGAGCACAAATTTTGGGTCGTTGGATTTCTGTGACAATCTGCCACGTCTTGCACAGCACGATTTTAACCTTAGATGCATTAGACCACGCAAAGTATTGACCATCTGAACTAAAGAGCATGGTCTTACAGTTTTTGTTGTCATCTTTGGAAAATGTTTTGACAGGTTCATAGGACGGTGGACCATATGCTAAATTTATACCATTGGACCCTCTTACTGTAAAATACATTAATACCTCTTTTTTTACATCTACTCTAATAATGACAAAAAATGCATGTTTATTACATGCTTATTACATGCTTATTACATGCTTGTATTATGTTAATATATCCTGTGTACATTTGTCTACTAAATGGAATAAGAACGTCGTTTAAATGACGAAGTATCTCTGTTTTTGAGAGACATGTAAAGATGAATGTGTAAATTGTAATTTCATTCTTTTTTTTTTCAATATTACTGCTCTCACGAAAATTGCGTCAGCTGTGACATTCGAGAGGTACCAGAGCGTACACGTCACAATAGTTTGAGGTTAGAGCATGGAATCTCGCGGTAAATTCGTTTCAGGTCGTGCCTGTGACTTGCGACGTGTCGAACACCGCTGTCACTGCGAATAATCTCGAGGCGATCTCGAGTCATTCGATGCTACAAAACACCGGAGACAAACACGTGCATGTTCATCGCGGGTACGGTGTGCAATTGGCACACTCGGAATGCCATCGAACGTTCGTATATACGGTTCTCTTGGAAGCGAGTCTCTCTGACGATTGGGTTGCGACTCGGCGATCGACAGTCTCACGTGTCCACGTTAATACCTGAAAGAAATGCTTACCAGCGACGCAGGGAACGAGCGAAGCCATTTTACCACCGTCACCATGTGGTGCTGCACTCAATTACCGCACGACGGGCACGATTTGTTCCGTGTTCTGTTCTTGTCTGTTCTGTGATCTGTCTGAAGTTAGACCAGTGTAAAGACGGTACACCCAATGGGTGCGTTCAGCAGAACGTTTAAGTACACCCAATGGCTACGTTCAGCTTTGCAACGGTTGTAAAATTCTGCAATATGATTGGTTTATACGTTTAGATCTATAAGAAACCAAAAGCAAGAACCAATCGTATTGAAGAATTTTACAACAGTTGCAAAGCT